AGGGGTGATAACAAAGTAAGATGTGGTCTCATGGCCAGAGACTGAAAAAGAATAGGGGTGAGAACTTGAAGACAATGCAATTGATTTCAGTCAGGCACAGAAATGGGAGACCATGAAGAAAAACCATGTGACTGCCCAGATTTTCACAAAATGCTCCTTGAAAAGCATATGATATGGGAAACAGAGCCTAAAAATACATATGAATGCAAAGGAACAATCATTACTGAGTGACTGAAAACCTGACAGTATTGGGCTCATGGAAAAAACTGAGGACGAGAGGAAAGGGATGTAAGGGAAGAAAGAGTTAGCATACAACAAGGGGAAACTCTCAAGTCTCATTTTTTTAACCTTTCTTGGTTTTTTTTCCTCTCAAGTAGAGGTCTTATCTTTGAATTAGAAACCCTAGAACATACGTGATGTAAAAAAAAAACAAGTTCAGAAATCAAGAGGGAAGAAGAAGGCATCCCTCACTCTTGTAGGTGTACCCAGACCTGAGTCACTTGGGTTCTGGGATCCTGAAAAGTGTGATTGCAGAATAGTAGTTGGTTGTCTTTCCAAAAACAAGGAATGGAGGAGACATGAGAAGATTGCAAAAATAAAACTTTCTACTTTTTAGAAAGAGGGAAAATCTGGGTCAGGAATTACAGATTAGTGAACTTGTCATTTCTCCTGGGCAGAATTTTAGAAGAAATCATTAAGCAGATGGTCTTTGAGAGCTGGAAAAGGAAGTAGTCATCACTAGGAGCCAGTCCTAAAAACCAGTTACCCAAGTGTGCTTAGGAAATGTGCCTTACAGAAGTTGTGCAAATCAGCTTTGAACGTTTGAGTTGACCACAGTGCCAGCCAGCAGTGAGGTGCTATGATGGAAGAAGAAAATACGATCAGAGGTGCTTTGCTAAAAATTCAGTTCTAGGGCACAGAAAATATTTATCCAAATATACCCTCTGCCTTCCGGATCCCTTTACAAACATGCATTCAGTTCTGTGAATGGGATTCTAAGAGTCACTGGCAAGTTGGGATATGTACAGAAAAGAATAAAAAAGAGGATGGAGCTCATATTTCTCGAGCAAGTAACTCACCATGTGTTGGGTGTCGTGTTAAATGTGGCATATGTTTTTTAATACTTAAGACAATGCCATGAATAGGTCATTAATATGCCTATTTTAGATGAGGAAACAAAGAATTATGTAACTGAGTAGTTTGCTCACGTCAGCAGCTAGGAAATGGCAAAGCTAAGACTTGAAGAATCTTTCTTATCCCCAAACCCATGCTCTTTCCACAGTACAAACCTGCCAGAGAAATAAGGGATCTGGAAAATGGACCAGTTGAGCAACTATTGAAGGAAGAAATATTTCCCATTTACAATGAAAGGAGTAAATATAAACATGATTGTTTCCAAACATTAAAGTAGCTGCCTTTTGGAAGATTAGCCTTGTTTTCTAAGGCCCCAGAGTATAGGACTTGGGCAATAGTGTGGAAGAAATAAGAGCAGTTGCCATTTATCAGCCATTTGATATTAACATTTGCTGACCCCTCTGCTTGGATTCATTCTTTAAACCCTGTGAGTGAGATATAGCACTATGATCATCTCCATTTCACAGGATAAGGACAAGAAGGAGGTGGAAGTACTGACTAAGTCGCCACTAGTAAGTGGGAGAACCTGGGCTGAAATCCACCTCTGTCCCACTCCAGAGCCAATGTTCTCAACTGTGTTCCTCCACTCCATTCCTTTTGGTAGCTTTCTAATCAATGTAAGGGGAAATTTCCAGGTCAAAGGAAACACATACCCTCTGTTTAAGGGAGTGAATTGTCCATCACTGATGTATCATGATCAACAGATGATAGTTTGGATCCAAGCTAGATGACTCCATGGGTTTCTTTCTACCCTAAGATCTCTCTTTCTTTTATTTTCCCCCAAAGATCTTAAGAGAAACAAGTTTACCTATAGATTAGTAGTCTGGGAAGGAGGGATGTTGGTGGTAGGTCTAGTGGTTCTTTATCACTTTGTCAACCTGAATTCCAGCATAATGGTAACCACAAGATTCAGTTTCTCTAAGATATTGTTTATATTTCAGTCACTTATGGTAAGTTTATGGACATGTGAATCTGCAGAAAGGCTTATTGCTATGGCTTTTAAGCATAGCATTTCTGTTAATGAGTGAAAATTAAATTCTATTCACATTTTGAAATAACAAGAAATTTTAGGAAATTTGAAAGGTGGAAAAAACTTTATAAAGCCTTAGTCATCATTACTGACCTTATGTGAACAACTTTGGTATTCTACCTTTGATAGTCATGGTGAAAGTTGAAAAAAATTGGCCAAGACACTTTATGGAAGCAGGATACAAGCTAACACTAGACTGATTTAAGGATAAAGATCAAGAAGAAAAGAGAAAGATAAATCTTTCCTATTCTCTTGAACATGTACTTTCCTCTTCTCTCCCCCAGTTTTCCACCACCCCCAGCATCCCAGTTCTTAAGAAAATCAAATACATGTTCTTGGAATATATTTCTAGATGTGGAAATTTGGACCTGAGGTCTTAATTTGCTGATTTATTAATTTGTTGATGAATGAGGTTACATGGAAAAACTTTCTGCCTCTTGGTTTTGTTGGTGGAAACTTTTCTGTGCTCTAACTAGCTGACTTTTTGGTTAGCTTGAGGTTATTTACTTTTAACAACAACAAATTGAGTTTCTGAACTCAGGTGTAGCGAGCATACTCCAGAGAGCTACAGTTCAAGAGAAAAGACATGTCCATGTGCAGGTTCTCATCCTATTTTCTGAAAGGTTGCTTTGTCTGTTGAGGTTAAGGTGACCTTCACTTACTGCTGTCCCTGTGTGCCTTCCACATCTCTGTGTCTTGTGGGCATGCCAGTTCACATTCACATCTGCTATATCAGTTTGAAGTCCAGTTCTCATCCATAGGGAATTACATAAGAATAAGTTAACTCAAAAAGCAAAGAAATTTTATGTGTGATGCTGAACTAACCAGACCTGACTGCTGAGATCAAACTGTTGGCTTGTCCCTTTAAAGTTAGGAAGACAATTTGGCAGCATTAGAAGAATAGGGGACCTTGTGGAATGTTAGATTATTTTTCTTGGAAGCCATACTGAACGATCTCTATTTCAGGATCATTGGAGTTGATAGACATATGACATGTACTGAAATAACTGCTAGCAGAGTTTAGCAAAGAAACCACGGTCCCCAAGGTAAACTTGGGTTTCTTCCGAGTATTGTTCTACCCTCTGCTTCCACTTTTCTTTTGAATGTCCTTCCTATGCTTCTTGGGGTTCTGTGGTAAGAATCTCTGTTACTAGACTATTTAGGAGCTACAGCAGTGAGGAGAAGATGGCATTTTACTAAATATTTCACTTCTCATTGATCCCCAAGATGTTACCATGAATAGTACCATTTTACAGATAACAAAACTGAGCATCTCAGGGGTAGCTTACCTTATAGCAGGTGACCATGTTGTAGCACCCTGAATGCAACTGATCTCATCTGATCTCGGAAAGTTGTAGACTATAAATTCCATTCTCTTTCTGCGACACAGCACTGACTTACACTAAGACAAACCAGGCCTGTTAAATCCGTGGGTGAAAGCTACCAGTGTTGTTATTGAGGAAAAATGTTTTGTGGAAGTGATACGGCCTCAGAGGTGTTTACCAAGAGCAACACTCTCCTTGGGTAACCCAAAACGCATTCCACTGATGCATGCCCTACACTTCCCCAGGCTGACAGCAGTCAGATGTGGAGCTTCTGTTGGTGCCTATCCTGACCAGCTTACAACTCTGCCACTAGGACCTTGCTTATCATTTTCCCCCTATCTCTAGCCTTTTCTTCGGTCTCTACCCTTGTCCCACCTATCCTCACCCCAAGCTGCCAGAGTGATCCTTCAGTTCAAAGCATAAGGTTATCAGTCCTCTGCTCAACAAGCCTCTGATGGCTTCATATCTCACTTAGAATATAAGCCGTGAGCTTCAAGGCCTCTTACATTTGGCCTCTGGCTGCTTCCTTGACATTGTCACTGACTCCACTCACTCTACTTGAACCATACTAGCTGTTCCTTGAATGCATCGAGCACCTTCTGAACACTTCAGGGCTTGTAAACATAGCATTTCTAGTAAGTGAAAATTAAATTCTTTGCATATTTTGAAATAAAAGCAAGAAATTGTAGGAACTTTGTTGCTATTTCCTGCACTGGTTTTGCCCAGGTATTTCCGTGATTGGCCCCCTTACATCATTCAGCTCTCTGCCTCTCTGTGAGACCTTTCTGACTACCCTGTCTAAAATAACCATCCCCATCATGCTCTGTCCCTTATTCTGCCTTATTTTTCTTCTAGCCCTTATTTTCTGTTTGCTTATTGGCATTGCCTACATGTAAGCGCCATAAGCTCAGGGGCTTTGTCTCTCCTGTTCCTGCTGTGTCCCCAACTGCCTGGCCCAGTGCATATTCACTAGCACTGGTTGAGTTGTGGAATGAATACATGTTGCTGTGGTCCTGGCAGAGGTAGACCCGAAGTGGAGTTGCTATCCCCTAGAGACCTATGATAATGAGAATGTCACAGCCTCTCCCAATGTGGTGAACTTTGCTGGCTCCTCACATCTCCTCATATGGGGATAATTGTAAACAGCATCAGAAAACTTGTGCGCATTTCTCTGGGTAAGAAGCAGGTTTATTGCTCTGATAAGAATGAGAACTACTTTTCCTTCTAACACCCAAGTTATCAGGACAGGTTTGCCACCTCAGGAGATGACTGGGAACAGTGTGGGTTCCATATCCTACCCATGCCCACTCTTCCAGATGTGGAAGTCACTCACAGGAGAGTGTTTGTAGAGCCTGTTAAGTGCCCCCTGCTTTGTGACTTTTTGATCCCACAGAGAGAAGACTCTCTCCTAACTTGGTTTTATTGAGCTCTGCTTCAGAGTGTCCTTAAACAGAGGTTTTCTGGTTGGAGATTTGAACCGAATGTGCATTTTCCTCTTGCTTTTCCTCTAGGATCTTCTACGTCTCTCATGATTCTCAAGACTTGAAGATCTTCAGCTATATTGCTCGAGATGGTGCCAGCAATATCTTCAGGTGTAATGTCTTCAAATCCAAGAAGAAGGTAAAGTCATCAGCGTTATTTTCCTCTGATGGGTCCAGGGCACCCCCGACATTGGCCTGTCTCCCTGTTGAAGGTGTAAAGGTGGCTGTTGTGATGCCAGACATGGGGGAGCTATCTCAGTTGTCTGTCATTGCTCTTGTATAATGAAACTCTCTTTTAGTTTCATCTGAACTTTTTGCCTAGTTATATAGAGACAGTTGGAGAGGGGTTGGCCATTGGATAAGTGCTCTGGAATGGGAGCAGGTAGACAGCACCGGGAGTTATGCTAACCTTAGACTCTGGTAGGAAAAAGCATTGCCATTTACTAAGGGGGACCCTTCATCATAATTCTGTACATTAATCAAGGGGCTACAAAATATGACACTTGGAATCTAGTTTAGACTTTCTGTTTGATATTGGTTGTCCTGGGTGATTAGCTGGGTATGGCAAACTTGATATTTTAGTAAATGCAACATTTACAGTTCTGTAGAGGCATTCTTTCTCTCTCTCATGCCTGCAGGAGTCTAACACAAAAAACTGGAGGTTGGGAAATCCAGGGTTTAGGGAGTCTAGGATCTAGCCCTCCCTCTCCACTGGTACCCTGAGTGATGTTATGGAGATCTCAGCTTCCTTGTCTATAGAATAAGGATAGCCAAAGTCAGCATTTCCTAAATGCATTCTGTAGAACATTTATCAGCCAAAATAGTCCATGTTAAAACTACCTGATTGAAATTGCTGAGAAGTTCTGAAGTTAAAGAAACCCCTTTAACTTTGTTTAGCCCAGCATTTCTCAAACCGATTTGTCAGTGGAACTATATTTTTTTACATATAATATGTTATAATATTCTGAGAACTATTTTTCCGAGAAGAGGTTTTGGAAAACACTATGTTGATGCCTTTAAGAGCCCTAATAGGTCCACCATTCTATAGGCAAACTACTAAGCTTGACTTCCTGTGAAGACTTCCAACCCCCTCCTGCCTACTCTCCTTTGATGTTGTGTGGCATATTATGCATTTATGTCTTTTTATTCTTTTTTTATTATTTTAAAGATGTGGAATAAAATTCAGTATTAGGTATATAAGTGGTCATCATAAATTTGGGCCTCTGCACTTAAGTTTTAAGGTATCTTTAATAGATTGTGGGTACCTTTTCAAGTGGGGATAATAAGAATAGTACATGCCAAGGTCCAGATTCGCTGACATATGTGTCCCCTTCCCCTCCCTAGCTCCACAAAGAGGATTTTGCTTTGCTAACTTAGCCTCTTCCTCTAAGGAGATCTGTGCCCTTACTCACCCTGTTCCCAGGCTTTAAAAATGCAAATCATGGAATTGGATGAAAAGTGATAGAACTAGAAAAACGGGAGGAATACAAGGTTAAGTTGCCTGACTTCACTTCTAGATAATAGGAAAAAATTGTAAGCAAGGCTGTCTCGCTACGGATTAAAGAACTGATAGGAAGGCGAGCAGGAAGAGGGAGAGAAAGAAAAGCTGTAGGTGCTGGAGTTGAGAGAGTTGAGGGTTTGGAGGGGAAAAGGCTCTCATGTAGCTTTTAGGAATCCATGAGTTGGATCATTTGTAATGTTCTTTGACAGATGCAACTAAAGACTGGAATTCTCTTTTAACTCATTGTATTTGTGCTTCTAAGTTTAGTTTTGTGCATACACTGGATCGTGTGGACCTTGGGATTTGTTAAAGTTGTAAGTAACCCATTATCATTTCCCAAGTTCCTTAATAAACTTATTTTATCCTTATAACATGTAGTAAAGAGGGTAAAACAGGTAATTTTTACCCCCAGTTAGACCTCAATAGGATCAGAGGGATTGAAGGACTTGTCTAAGTTCCCCTAAGTAGGCACTGGCTAAAACCAGGGAGACATGCCAAAGGAAAGAATCCTGAGCAAGAAACCTAGGTAAAGGAGACCATTATATTATATTTGCCTTGTCATGGGATCTAATGGAGCAATATAAACACAGTAGAAGTATCCAGTTCTTCTGCCAAAACCCGGGTCTAAGAACAACGCCCACTTGGAACTTTGATCTTGAGGTAAGGCACAGAATCGAGTTCCCAGTACCCAGTGAAAAGGAGGAGTCATCTGGTTCCCTATCATATCAACTTTTATCCGTGCCTCATAGTGCTCAGAGCTCATTCTGATCTCTGGCTCTTCTATTTTCTATGTCCCTCTCACCCTCACCTACTGAGATTGCAGCTCTTCCTAGAATTGGTTCTCAGGCCCTTTGCTGGCCTGTGGCCATGCAACCGAGGGAATTGTTTCCAGTTGGTCTGGGCTGCAGGCCCTGTTGCTGCTGAACTGTAGGTGGGGAGGCCAGTTTCCAAGCTAGTACAGAGTCATGAATTGTTCAGCAAAGGAAGTAGAATCAGCAAGGACTGGGGAGCACGTCTGTGAGGTTTTGCGCATTATCCTGGTTAGCCTCCAAACATGGTGATTTACTTTTTTGTAAAACACTCTGGTTTCAAGAGATAATAGTTAGCTTGGAGAAGGAGTTTTAGTTGGCAAATCATAGGAATAGCTTTTAAGCTAAGATGGAAAGGACTGCAGACCTTGAGGAAATGTGTCTCACAGAGATGTTTCTGAATTGTTGGAAGCCTATAGAGAGAGTTCTTGAATGGAAGCCAGATGACCTGGGTGTTCTCCAGAGCCCTTGCGTTGCTCATAGTGTAGGAAAACCTTGTCTGAGCTCCTTGCTGAGTCAAGTCTTTGGTTGTTGCTGTATTTTTTTGTTTTTGTTTTTGTTTTTTGAGTTGGGGTCTCACTTGGTCGCCCAGACTGGAGTACAGTGGCTGCTCCCGGCCACCGCAGCCTCGCCTGCTGGGCTCCGGCGGTCATTCTGCCTCAGCCTTCCGAGTAGCCGGAATTACAGGCATGCGCTACCACGCCCGGCTGATTTTTTGATTTATTGTAGAGTTGAGGTCTCGCTGCCCAGGCGGGTCTCGAACCCACGGGCTCAGGCAGTCCACTCACCTCAGCCTCCCAAAGGCGCAGGATTACAGGCTGAGCCACCGAGCCCGTCAGTTGTTGCTGTTTTATATCACATCATGTCTCCTGTGTATATACCAATGGCCCGTTTCTCATGACAGAAGTCTAATGTGGGTGTCATCATTACCCTACAGGTCACTAAAGGAAAGCATTGCCTCCTCACTTCCCTGGTAGAGGGCACCCCTATACCTTGCTCCATGCACAGCTATTATTCTATGCCTATGGATCTTCTTTTAGTCACTCACACATATGGCCAAGTGGGTCCTACTTTGGGGATGTTAACCTTGAGCTGATTTTTTTTCTTTTGAGCTTTCACCAGAGGCTAAATAGCAAAATATTGCAAGAATAGACCATGATACTTGTTCTTCTACTACTCTAGATTCTCTGAGATCCAGCCTTATATTTAAATTGGATAATGATACCTAATCTGTCTTGATTACTTGCTATATACCTGAGACTGTTCTAAGCTATGTATATGAATTATCTTACTTCATTCCCACAGCAGCCTTGGGTGGTAGGTACTATTATACTCTTCATTTTATAGATGGACAAGTAGAGTCCTAAGATACAAAACTTGCAAAAGGACTTATAAGAAGTAGTGAAGTCAGAGCTGAACCCAGGAAGTCTGACTGTGGAGCTCACACTCTTAGCCACTCCATTATACTGTTGTCATTGGCTCATTAGGAAATTATATAAGCAGTAGCCTTGTTTTCTAAGACCAATTTGTAACTAGGTTCTACTGTAATCATTATGTGGGTATAAAGCGTTCCTTAACTCTGAATGACCCAAATCACTTTGACATAAATTTTCCTTTTTTCCTCATAGTCTCCATGTATGGTCATTATTGACCTACTTCATTTTAGAGTTGGAGAAAGAAAGGGCCTGGGGATGCATATTACCCCTGGATGCCACTGAGATAAGAACCAGTGGAGAAAGAAAGGGCCTGGGGATGCATATTACCCCTGGATGCCACTGAGATAAGAACCAGTGGAGAAAGAAAGGGCCTGGGGATGCATATTACCCCTGGTTGCCTCTGAGATAAGAACCAGGCTTCCTGCTTCTCAGGCTTCCTGCTTCTCAGTCCATGACTTTGGCCACTAAATCCTGTTACATGAAACTCATATAAAAAACCCATGAACCTTTCTGGACTTGAGTTTCTGCAGCCATCAAATAATATGAAAGGCATCTCAGGAATGGTGATTGCTGTGTGTGAAGTGATCTAATCTTTAAGGAACAAATTCTCTCTGGCTGGAAAGTGCTGCCAGGATTATGGTAAAAGGATCCTCCCACTCTTCAGACTCGACTTGTGCTGTAAGCTGAAGATTCTGAGGAGTTGGGAGTGTATCTTTTCCTCATTGACAGTATCCAAAGGAGATACTTGCTGATGATACGGGCATTCCTTGTTTCTCCTCCTTGGGGAATCTAATGATAGTATTCATTTGCTAGGCCTTTTGCCTCTCGAGAAGCCTCTTGCATGGTCTCTTGACCTCTCCTGTGGAGTAGATGTTACTCTCCTGTCATTCTCCCCTAGCCCTAGGAGGACATGGCTGTCTGCCCTCATTAAGAGTGAATGTCCTTGTTAGCGCGTCAGTGCGTGAAGTACTGGTGATTAACAGGAGCAGCAGGAATCTCCCCATTATCTTCATGGGCAGCTCCTTGAAATAATTTTGCCTGCAATCACAGCTCAATTGGTTTGAGTTGTGAGAAATCATTTCCCCCTGTAATACTGTCACCATCAAACCAGAGGACTCAGCTGTGAAGTTTAACTGTCTTTTAGAGTTTGCAGTGGATTTTGAATGATAATGACAGCTGTGTGCTAAAAATCAAGTAATTTTCCTGGTTGAGCTTTAGAGGTGAAAGATAGGAAGACCCTAAATTTAGGTAAAGAGACTGTTTTATATACTATTGGATTGAGAAGTCAAAATCTAGAAATCTTAAGTCTCAGAACTTTTCTAGACCAAATCTCTCTTTTATGGCTAAGGAAATCAACACCAAGAAAGCTGAATTAACTTGTCCAAGGTCACCC